TCCCGTGACGCAAGGCCAGGCTCGCTCCCTTCCCCCGCTGCCCGGCCCCCGGCCCCGGCAGCCACCCCTCTCAACTGCCTGCGCCATCCGGCTGGGTTCCGGCCCCTGTTCCCTCCGATCATCTGCAGGCCGCTGCCAGGGGTGTCTTTCAAAGCCCGCACCCGCTCACAGCAGCCCCTCGGTCGGGACCTTCCAACGGCTCTGCAGTGCTCCTCCGTGACAACCGGCGCCACCGCCCTGGCCTCCGACCCCCGCACACTCCGGCTCTTCCCGGTTCCGAGGCGCGCCCTCGCTCCAGGTCAACCGTGGCTTGCCCAAAAAGTCCTTCCCTCTGTCCTCCCCAGCTTCACGCCTCCTCAGTGCTTCCTCAGTCTTCTGTCTGGTGCCCCTGTCCCCTCCTCCAGGCAGCCTTTCCTGATCCTTCAGACCAGATGAGGTTCTCGGGCCTTCTCTGCAGCACACTCAGCACAGGTTTTAATTAGGTTTGTGATTCTTGGAAAAACGTCAGTCTCTTCCCTCTAGCCCGGCGCGGCCCCCTTGTCCTAACGCCTGCTGGACCCTCTGTGGCGGTCACCATGCCCGTCCGTGGAGGTGCCCGTTACCACATGTGCGGTGGACCAGGGCGTGCAGGCGACCTTCTGGGGGGCGACCCCGGCCTTTCCCAGCATTGCCTTCTGGGGTGAAAATAGCACCAGTGCCTCGTGCATTGTCTCCCGCAGGCCTTATCACAGGTGACGATATGAAACACAGCCGCCCCTCAGATGCGGCCAGCAACGCAGAAGGCCACCCATGGTGCGCCCTGTCTGGACACTGGGGAGAGGAAAGGCAAGCCATCGACTCCCAAATGAAAGCCAGCCACCACTCGGCTCGCCAGCCAGCTCATGCTGACTGTAGCAAGATTAAAAAAACAACAAAAGAAAAAAAGAAAAAGAAAAGACAAGAGCCAAAAAGGGGTTTTTATTTTATCTCTCACTCAAATGGAGGAAAATCCGTTCCGTGCTGACTGGAGGGGCAAGGCGATGAGTCAGCACGTTTCTGTCAGTTTCCCGGCTGACTCAGTAAAACCACGCCCCTAGGGCCGCCTCCGTCCACACGCGACAGGTGATACCAGGCCCGGGACCCCCCGGCCGGGTGTCTGCTGGACGGGCCGCTGCCTGGGCCTGTGGGGTTTCCTCAGCTGAGCGCGACTGTCCCCTCCTCACCCTGACAGTGGCCGGCAGCTCAGAAGGGCCCTGAGAGACGGGCAGGCGGGGTGGGGCGGGCAGCTGGGTCGTGAGACAAGCCAGCCTCTGTCTCACTCCCAGACGGTGTGTGCTTGCTGTTCCGAGGGCCTTGGGTGGGGTGGGGCCTGAGCGCCGACCTCCGGTCTCCTGGCCTAGTGAGGGCAGGTTCAAAGGGAGGTGAAGGTCGAGATGCAGCATGGGCTTAATTACCTCCCAGCAAGGGAGCTTCTGGTATGTTCTGTTGGAGGACTCAGCTGAGACCTGGGCAGATGTGAGGCTTCCCGAAATCTCCAACTTCCCCCTGCCCCGCCCCGCGGCTAGCCAAGCCTGGAGACCCACCCTGGGCGGGCTGGGGCTGCAGGTCCTGTCGCTTAGCGTGTCCCTGGGGCGGGGCAGTGGGAAGGGCAGGTCTCCCCCACCACTGAGGGAGGGCGGGCGGGCAGGGGGCTTTCTAAGGCAGGCCTCTGCCCCTCCCCCATTCGCAGGGACCAGGGTTGTCAGTAACGATAAAAGCGATAATTAGGAAATGACCTGCTTTACCCCTAACAATGCCCTTTTTTTTTTTGCCCTAATGTCTGGCTTGTCCGACGTTCATACTAAGAAGGCAAATTTCTTTGGGTGAAGATATCGTATTTTGCCCTGTATGATGTGTACTTTTTGCCCAAATTTTTGAGGGGAAAATAAGTATGTTCATTATACATGGGTGGAGTGATTACACATAATGGGAATAGTGACAGGCATCGTAATCCCGTGTGTAATGCACACGAGACGGGCGTGCGTGTTGTACGCGGCAAATGCAGTGAGCATGTTGTATTTAAATCGAGGATCTTGCAAAAATCCCAGTAGCCAGATTTTAAGTTCTAAATAGATGAGCTGTTTATACTTTAACGGATTCAACCATTTACATATAATGAGATTAATGTGATGACTCATTTTTATCTTATTGTATCTTTCATTTTATATTTTATTCTGCTTCTTTTTGGACTCTTTTCTCTCTTCCTGGCCATCCACTGGGTAGGTGCACTATTTTTATTCACCCTCTATTATTTGAAATTGTACATTTTGTTTTTCTCTTCTGTTTCTGGGTATTCCTAAATTTGTAAGATGCATACTTATTAAAATCTAAAGTTAACCGCATCTCTATTGTTTTCCAGTACAAAATAAATTCTTAAACTGTTTTAAAACTGTTTGCTCATCATGTTTTATTTTTATTTTTATATTTTTAGGGAGAGAGGAAGGGAAGGAGCGAAGAGGGAGAGAAACATCAACGTGAGAGAGGCCACCCATCAACTGGGTGCCCTTCCCACACTTCCCGGATGGGGAGACCAAACCCGCAACCCAGGCATATGCTCTGACCTGGGGAAATCGAACCCACGACCTTTTGACCTTTTGGTTTACGGGATGATGCCTCAACCAACGGAGCCATGCTGGCCCGGGCACTAATCTTGTTTCAAAACATCCAGATGGGGCCGTTATGGCCGTCATCGTTAGCTTGAAGAGTGCATTGAGATTTATTCCCGTGCAAGCGCTCCTCTCGCTGGTGCCTCTGCCGTCTGACCCTTGTGTCTGGCGTCCGCCTCCTTCCTCCCGGGACCTTCTGGGCGCAGGCGATTCTCCCCCGGCGCTGCGGGAAAATGCCTGTCACGCGTGCTTTGTAACGCAGGCCGACTGAGTGCGGCGCTGAGGCCGACGGTGGCGTTCCCCCCGCTCTCTGAAGTCCGGACTCCGCAGCCGGGGACGCCGCGCGCGCTGGCGGCTCCGCGGTCCTCCTGTGCGGATCGGGCCTCTTCCCTCGGGTGGGTTGAGGGCCTCCTGGGGGTCTGCGGGCTCACGCGGAGCCGTCCTGGAGCGGGCTGCTGTGCGGTCTTCCCGCCGGGACTCCCGTCCGCCCTCAGCTCAGGGGCGCCCTCGTCCCGCCGTGTTGAGACGCTGCTTCCTTCCTGCGTTTTCTTTCACCCTGGAATTTCTGTTCGGCCCATTCCGTTCTCTTTAAAACAGTTGTTTTCCCCTGGCTGGCGTAGCTCAGCGGACTGAGCGCGGGCTGCGAACCAAGAGTGTCGCAGGTTCGATTCCCAGCCAGGGCACATGCCTGGGTTGCAGGCCACAGCCCCCAGCAACCAACCGCACATGGATGTTTCTCTCTCTCTCTCTTTCTCCCTCCCTTCCCTCTCTAAAAATAAACAAATAAAATCTTAAAAATAGTTATTTTGTGCTCTGATTTTTCTGTTATCTCGCATTCCTGGCGGTGCTAAGTCTGGTTTCTCCTGTTCACCAGTGCTTGCTCACGGCAGTCTTTTTGGTTGTGTGGTTTGTCATTTTGATTTTGGGCTCATTGTTAAATTTTTTCCTCCTTCTCCTCCCTCCCTCCCTCCTTCCCTTCCCTCCCTCCCTCCCTCCCTCCCTCAGACATCTTACGTAGCCTGGGCTATGGAAACACCCCTGTAGATCGATTTTGGGTTGGCTTCAGCTTGGGCCTGTGGGGCACAGGGCTGCTGATCTGGGGTTCATTTTGGGGTCGATGCATGGACAGCGGTTGCATTCCCACGCAGGGGTTAGAAATCTGGGCACCGGCCCACTCCCTTCCAACCACGCGCTCGTGTAGCGAGCGGGGTTTCAGATGCTCTCTGTGTTACGAGAACGTTCTTCAGTTCAGCACGGCCCTCTTCCTGCCCCTTCTCTGGATGGAGTTGTTCTCACCCCTTCTCACCGGGGACGCAACTCCCTGGGGGCCCAGCTTCTGCGGATTCTCCGTCGCAGGTGCCCGCTCTTCTTGTCTCCAACCCCCCAGCACCAGGTCCTCTCTCTGGGCCCTGAACGGCCCTTGGGGGTCCCAAGACCCCCAATCACCAGCCTACTCTTCTGGCCTTGCGTCCCCTCTGCGTTCCTGCCTCCTGACTCCCTCCCACGCTTGACCGGGTGTTGACGACCATCCTTCTGGGCGTCTCTCTGGCCCAGGGTGTCCCTGTGCTCCCTTCAGCCCACCCCCCCTATCGCTGGGGGTCGGGAGGTGTGTGTGCCACGTGCAAACACGTGACAAAGAAACAAGTGCAGCCGTAAAACAGAGAGGCGGCGAGGGCTCACCACAGACCGTGACGACGGCTACCTGACCACACTATGAATGCAATGCCCCTGCTAAGCTTGTCCTTTGAAAACAAACGCCCAGGTTTCCCTGAAACGAGTGACCATCCTCGTCCTCAGAGGGCGGCCACTCTCTCTGAGACCCCACATTCATGCATGGAGGCCAGGATGGGGTGCACAGCAAGCACTTCTTAAAAAGGAACAAATAAAATGAACGTCTTGTCCGAGTTACGTATAAGACCTCTGTAACAACCCCGATATAGCGCCCTATCAACCTGCTGGGTACGTCTGTAGAAGGTGAAGCAGAGTCAGTTTTCCTCTGAATTCTTTAAGGTACTTCCAAGCTGAACACAGTCAAGTTCAGCCCAGGGATGACGGCTTTCTGAGCTGACTCTAACTTTGGAGGGGGTTTCTAGAAGAGATTTGCCCAAACGAGCATCCCACAGTCCTTGGCGGGTGGGTTCAAGGTCAAGCTACAATAAAGCCGTCTCTTCAAGGGCTGTCCCGGCACATACTCGGCCAAGGCCAAGTTCCCCTGGGGTGACGATGGGGTGCTCAGGCACCAAGGGGTGCTCACACTCTCCTCGGGGCCCAGAGGAAGGGGCTGGGAGGCGAGTTTGTTTAGGCTCAAACAGCCCCAGGTGTCACGCACAGCTCTGATGGCTCGTTATCACAGTGGGCCGAACACGCAGGGCTTACCGTGTAGTTTCGAGTGAGGGACACGTCGGTGCCGTCCTGCAGGTAGTGGGTTTCCGTGAAACCGCTGGCAATGAGGCCTCTGTGGGGGGAAAACCATGAAAAGCTGAATGTGGGATCACACCGATATGTCGCTTGTGAATGTTCAGGTTGCAGGGCAGCCAGGGACTGACCCCGCCTCCTGCTTATTTTACAGAAGACCCAGTTTCCCGGCGTCTCCCAAAGGACCTGCGTGGGGCAGGTTATCCTGGGAGAATCGGGGAGATTCAGGCAGGCGGGACTCAGACGTGTGGGCATGGAACACCCCCCACGCAGACCCCCCACCCTCCCACCTTATTCTCCAACACACACGCAGGCGTCTGCACGCCCTGGCATATGCGCCCACAGGCACACACGCACACACACACACTGGGACACACACACATGCTCACTCTTCTCTGAAGAGTGTGAGGATTTCCGAGCAAGGAGAACCGCCCGCCTGGAAGTCCCACTGTGTAGAATGAACAGCGCAGCCGCCTGCCGGGACAATGGCTTTGGACCCACAGTCTTGCCCCTGCGGGTCCCCCAGTGGGTGAGCGGGCGGCCGTCCGTGTTAAAGTGTCAAAGAAGAGTCTAGAACAACACTGCAGGAGGCGAGGGAAAGTAGCGTCCATCACCACCACCCACGTCACGGAGCCCTTCAGCTTCCGGCTTTATCCGCCTGTTCGCTCACCTGTCCATCTGCCCTCAGAAGTGACGCCGCGGGGCCCTTTGCCCCCCACTGCGGCCCCGCCCCCTGCCCAAGATATGTATCTCATTTAATTCTAACAGCACCTAGTATCTGGCTCTGTGGGTTAGATACTACATTTTACCCAATTTAAACAAGGAGACCAAGATACAGGGAGGTTAAGTGACCTGCCCAAGGCAGCACCCCGTGGTTCTGCTCCAGAACTTGGCATTACTCGTGACCGTGTTGTCATGACTTTGGCATTACTCATACCTTTACAAGCGGGTCAAAAGATATTTACTGAGTGCCGGGTGTAGGCCCAGTGCTGAGTGCTGAGTGAATATATGTTCAGTGGAATAATGGATGTATAGATGGATAGATGAATGGGTGGTAGATGGATGGATCAATGAATGGATGATGGATAGGTGAATGGATGGATGAGTGGGTGCATAGACGGGTGGGTGGGTGGATGGATGGATGGATGAATGGATAATGGATGATGAATAGATGGATGCATGGATGATGGGTGGATGGATGATAGACGGGTTAATGAATGGATGGATGGATGATGAATGGATGGATGATGAATAGATAAATGCGTGGATGATGGATGAATGGATGAATGGATGAGGGATGGGTGGATGGATGGATGCATGGATGCATGGATGATAGACAGATTAATGGATGGATGGATGATGGATGGATGGATGGATGGATGATGAATGGATGAGGGATGGATGGATGTGTGGATGATGGATGCATGGATGATGGATGGATTAATGAATGGATGGATGGATGATGGATGGATGGATGGATGAGGGATGCACGGATGGATGAGGAGACGTGAGGAGAACACTGCAGGTACACTCTCGTTTGTCTAGGGCTATCCTCTCCCGCTTGTAAACAGATTTCCTGTCCTCCTTGGGGACTGCAGGTGACACTGAAGGGCGCTCAGTCAAGGCGTTCTGAGCTGTGCGTCTAATGTAAAAGGGGCTGAAAGTCAGAGGTCCCTTGAGAAAACGGGAGAGGCAGGCGGACAATGGCCACATTGGAAATGTGACGGCGATGGACCTGCTGCCTTTAGATTTCCCCAGGGAGGAAATCCAATTAGATAGACTCTCTGTGTCAGCAAATGGAAACAGAAGGTGAATGCATAATTTCATGAGAACATTCTTTTCCCCCCTGCTTATTAGATTAGCTGATCTAACAAGGAACCCTGCTCTTCTCTATACCAGAAAATAAAATCAGGAGTTCATTGTGCTGTTTTTCATTTGTCTTGCTGTTATAAGTGATACCTCCACATTCTCTCATTTAGCCAGTATTTAGTACGCTGGATATCGGGAATACGATACCCCAAGAACTCGCCGTCTAGTGAAGGACAGGCCCGGAGGGTGATCACAACTCCATGATAGAGACACATACACGCAAAGCACGGGGGGGAATTCAAGGGAAGACTTCTAACCCAGAAGCCTGGGGGAGGTGGCACTCATCGTGAAGGATGGGGGAGAAGGGGTCAGGTTGAGAGAGGGTCAGTGAGGTGAAATGTGGGGAGGAGTGAGGAAGAGAACATTCTAGATAGAGGAAACTATGTTCTCAAAGGCACAGAGGGCACAGAAACAGCATGTTAATGGGGACGGGTGCAGGAGATGTAAAACTATATGGAATTTCAAGTTGCTGGGGAGTAATGTTTGAGGTGGGGAGGCATGGCGCTCAGACAGGCAGGCTGGGGACCAATCCTGTAGGTTGCCACGTGTCAGTAACTTTATCCCATGCGACGGGAAGCCATTAGACACAGCGGTGATCTAGCAGACACGAGCTTTGGAGCTACAGGCCACCCGGACAGGCAGGGAGTGGCAGCGGGAAGGGCGGTTAGGAGGAGGCTGGTGTGAGATTTCACGCCAGGGCCCAAACCGGGGTGTGAGCCCTCGGGATGGGAAGTTCAGGGGAGAGGACAGAACTGGAACCTCAGTTTCCAATGGAGACAGGTCATTCATAAAGGAGGGAAGGGACCATACGCTGAATCTCGGCTGTGTTGAGTGTGGGACGTCTGGGAGACGTTCTCTTGGCGATGTCCAGGAAGCAGCTGACCCCGAGAGGCGGAGATTTCGGGAGCAGCTTGAACACAGAGATGGGGCCACTCAAAGACAGGACGCGCTTCCCTGATGAGAAGACAAGTAGAATCTTGTCCTTCCTGGCTGACCATTGCATTTTCCGATTTCTGACCTCAGAGACTTCGGATACACAGGGTCCAGCACAAATAATGCCCCTCGTTTTTATGACAAAACCTTTCATTACAGAACCACCAGCAAGTAATTCTGTAACATAACAACATCACACTCGAGCACACCCTAGGACATTTTGGGTGAAACGTTAAGATTAAAACTATAAATCATTGCACCCATATTACTATCCTACCAACCACACTCACGCAGGTGTTCCTTCTGCCGGACCCTGTCTATGGCTGGAAACGATCATTTAGAATTTACGTTGAATATTATTATGTGCATAATGTTCTTCCTAATAACATTTCTGAAATGATTTGAGTATGGCAATAAAAAAACCCAAATTGGTTTTAGATCAATGTTGAAATTATTCTTCTCTAAATTTACCATTATATAATTTAGTTATCTAGGTTGCACGCGATAGGTTTCATCAATACGACATATTTTACTCCCCGAAGTGCAGGAGAACAAGAAACACCTACTGGCGTCTGCCTGTGGGCGCACTTTCTCCGCCCACCTCACCCCTGTGGAGCGAGTGCTCGTCTCTCCGGTATTCTTCCAGGATTCCGTTACAAGGCTTCCTCTCTTCTACCTCATTTCTCTTTGGCTCGTCTCCTCCCACCTCGGGCTGAGCTCAGGGCAGAAACCAACCCCTGAGCCTAGCACCATGGCTAGCATCCCAGAGGTGCTTAATGAATAAGTGGGTGGCACACACCGAATCATCCTTATGGAAAAGCAACCCAAGCCCTGGCTGGCATGGCTCAGTGGATTGAGCGTCGGCTGCGAACCAAAGCATCGCAGGTTCGATTCCTAGTCAGGGCACATGCCTGGATTGCGGGCCGGGTCCCCAGTGGGGGTCACATGAGAGGCAACCACACATTGATGTTTCTTTCTCTCTCTTTCTTCCTCCCTTCCCCTCTCTAAAAATAAATAAATAAAATCTTGAAAAAAAAGAAAAGCAAAGCAACCCAAGTTGCACAGAATGTGTTCCCACCAACCGGGTCAAATAAAATGAAAAGAAATGTGGTTCAACACTGTGGGCCCTGATCGTGGAGGCGGGGGTGGGTGGGGGGTTCAGACAGTCACATTCACTCTGTTGCTATTTCAACCACGTCAAGGGCTGCCAGGTCCTCGACACAGGCCCTGACACCTGGGCGTCAATTCTAGAGCCACTGAGACGAGGAAAACAGGGGAAGAGGAGCTGTGAGATCGGCATCGATCACTCAGGATGAGGAAAAACGCAGTGATGACAGGCCCGTGTTTTCCGATCGTTTCGTGGGAGACCGCCCGCGTGGGCGTGTACAGTTGAGTCATTCTGTGCGGGGGGGGGGGCGGGGAGCACGCAAAGGCCCCAGCAGGGGGTCCGGTCGGCCGGCTGCGCCCGCAGGCACTCCCACCCCTCGGTGGGTGAGAGCCGGGCTTCTGTGACCTCCCCGGCAAGCCCACTTGGTATTCACAGGCTCCAACTCAGTTTTCTGCCGAAGATTTACTTCGCCACAGGTTGTTATTATCCCACAAATTACCAAATCACTCATACGTGCATTTGGGTAATGATGTTCTCTCACGAGGACGTGGAGATGCAGCGAGGAATATATATTCCTGGGGGGATAAACTGCCCGGCGCTTCCACGAGACACAGCGCACAATAAACACCATAATTAAAAATCATGATGTGATGTGCCTAGTTCTGAGGATAAATGCCCTTCATTAAAACGATCTGTTCCTCAACCGCAGCTAAATAAAGGCAGAGAAAACGGGCCTGGACCCAGGCTGGGCACGCTGCCTGCCCAGGGATCTCATTCCGGTCGGCGGCGAAAGCTCTCCACTGGCCGAGTCCTGGGCTCTGAACGCCGGCCCCGTCGGCTCTCCTGGCCCTTTCACCGCGATCAGACAACTGAGCAAGTCTCCATGGAGACGGCACGTCGAGGGGTGACATGACAGGAGGAAATGAACAATAGGGGAAAGGGTAGAGACCGGGCATTGTCTACTTCTCGGCTCCTATTTCCTTCAGAATCGATCTTTGCAACTATGTGTGCTCTTTGTTTTCCGCGTGGGAAAGTCACCCTGGTAAGTAACACAAGCTCCAGGTTCCTGATCTGGGGAGTGGGAGCAAAGTACCGGCTCTGTCACTGTCCCTGTGTTGTGTCCCCAGCAT